AATTTAATTTATCTTTAAATATTTCGTTAATTTTCTTAATATATTATTTCTTTTATTTTTCATTTTATTTCTTAACATACACACAACAACAAAAAATAAATAAATAAATAAATAAATTATATATATTTGACGGACCCGGATTTAGGCCGGTTAGCCGGACTCGGACCAAAATCCGGGTCCGGTGTGGTCGGTAACGGACCAGATGGTCCGCTACGGATTGGTCCATAACGGACCGTCAGATGGTCCGTTACTGACCATACCGGCGGGCTCGCCGGAAACTCCATTTTCGGCGAGCTCCGCCCCTTTTTTTCACTTTTTTTCAAGATTTTAACCTCAAATTCGATATTTTCTTACATTTTAACTATAAAAACATGAATTTAACCCATATTCATATCCTAAACATTCAAACTTTCACAAATTTAAAGTAGTTATTTATAGAAAACATGTCTAACCTTCCAAAAAATGACGGTCTCCCGTTACGGATTGGTCCGTAACGGACCATACCGGCGGGCTCGCCGGAAACTCCATTTTCGGCGAGCTCCGCCCCTTTTTTTCACTTTTTTTCAAGATTTTAACCTCAAATTCGATATTTTTTTACATTTTAACTATAAAAACATGAATTTAACCTATATTCATATCCTAAACATTCAAACTTTCACAAATTTAAAGTAGTTATTTATAGAAAACATGTCTAACCTTCCAAAAAATGACGGTCTCCGGCGAATCCGAGGTGGCTCTGGTCTTGGTCGAAGTTGGTGAGGTCCGGGCCGTCCGTAGGCGACGTCGACGGTCGGTAGCTGATTTTTCCCTTTTTTCTTTTCTTTTTTCTCTCTATTTTCTCTTCTCTTCTTTCCTCTAAATGAGGGTATTTTCGACCCTACACATTTTGTTTACATTTTTTTTTTTTTTTTAACAAATAACTTGGTCAAAGGCTATTATGGAAAACATACCGGGTGGGGCAGCCATTGCCCACCATTTCCTCAGCTTACAACAGTGTTCGTACCAGGGTCAACTTTTTTGTTGTTTTGAACTTGACCCAGTTACTGTCCATTTAGGATATAAGCTCAATGTTCCTGGCCCATGACTAGAATAATTAGGTCCAATATTAGAAGCTGGCCCAATGGAGGCTGGCTCAATAGATACTGTGTCATTTAGAGTCCCATTCTTAAAATTGGTTGGCCTGTTAATATGAGACCTAAGTCCTTTTAACACCAGACCTAAGACTTCGACATTGGACCTAGACCCGTTCATCATCACTTTCCAATGACTCTCCTCACACCTCACCTCTGCAAAGACACGATGTTGGAGTCGTTTCCGATCAAGTATTCTGCTACCCATGTCGTCTAAATCCCGGTAGAGCCCAAGTCGAGTTCTTGCCATAACCCCGTCATCTCCAAGTAATAATCGATCACCTCACGTTCACTTTGCTTCGTTTGCCATAGTTGAGACTTGAATTTGAAAATTTAGGCTTAATTTTTAGAATCGGAGTACATCTCCTTCACAGCTTCCCAAACGTCCCTTGCCATGGGTAAAAGTAGTTAAGTTTTTCCAATTAAGATCTTCATAGAATTGACAAGCCAAGTGGTCACCATTGAGTTCTCCGATCGCCATCTTTGAAGGAGAGCAGTGTCGATCGACATCTTCGTTTCTTTAGTTAGGTACCCAAGCTTTCCTTTTCTATCAATTATTAGCATGATAGATTGTGTCCATTCTCTACAGTTCTTCCCATTTAATTTTTCTACCGTGAGTTAGAACGATGAGTTTTCAATTTCTCTTGTACTGATGGCAGAGATGGCCTTTGTTTCGTTGTTGAAAGATTCAGAGGTCATTGAACCTCTGTTGTAGTCGGCAGTTTCTGTCATTCTACCTGGCTCTGATACCATAAAGGTTGAATTGGGAAAAATGATTATTCTATTTCATACGTTAATATACAATAAAAACTCCTCTTTTATAGTACAAGGAATGGGACAATAAAAGGAAAACATAAATCTAGAAAATCTCCTATAATCAAATAATATATTCTACGGAAAGCGGAATCCATAATTATTCTTTCTAATCATTGTTTAAGTCATCTTGGGATTTTAACATACGATTAATTAAATCTTTGTGGCAAAACCATGAGTCTGTATCAGAGGAATAAATGCATGAGAGAATAATGCTAAACCTGCATCAACAGTCTAAAGATGTCTTCTTTTAGAAAAGCC